TGTAACTAAGTCCCTCTCTCTTTCTTTTGACAGGAAAGAGAGATTCTTAGTCAATTAGTAAGGGCAATTGATTATGGTTGTAGGAAATGTATCTAGGCATGTGCTAGTTCCTTTTCTGTGCACGGGTGCTTTCATGGGTTGTTGATCAGGTGGTGCTGAATACGTGAGGCTTTCACTTTGCTCAGGTGGGAGCTGCGATTAAAGTACAGTAAGGTAATTTCAGCATCATTACAAAGAGAAATAGTAGGCATCCATAAATAATCCTTCACACGGAGGATATGTGGCTCCAAAAGAGTTAGTAAGATTTTAGCCAGTTGTTCAAATACCTTCATGGAAAGATTTGTGGAAAGAGCATCTAGGGCTTGACTCAGGAAAATGCTTAAGAACATGTGCTGCCAAATTGGTTATGGAAGGATCTATTATGTTCTATATAAAAATGGAGAAAAACAATATAGAACAGTCTGCTTTTTCTGTTACAATTTCAAATTATAGATTTAATTTGTGTCATATAAACAGTTACAGCTCCTGAAAGTATAGGAACCAGATACGTATAAAGCTGGGTTTAGTGCCATTTTTGGTATGTGCTTCTGGGAAAAAAAAAAAAAAATCAGTGCACAATTATTTAAAATTTATTTTTATAGCCACCTTTGAAATAACTGAATGTTTTTTGTCCAGAGCTCTTGCTAGTGGTGCTTTGTTTGTTTTTTGAAAAAAGTATCATACGTGATAAAGGCAGGTAAAATTTATAAACTATTCCTGCAATTAAAAAGAGGCATTTATGAGGCAAGGAGAACATCTTCATTGTGATTCTGCTCCCAACGGGTCAAATGACTGGCTTGATGATTCAGGACACAAGCTCTTTGTCCTTGACAGAGACAAGAATTACTATTTATTCATCTTACTCATGCCGTTTCTTCTATACATTTTTCTTACCTCAATTTCAGAAAATACCTTTGATCTTTGTAATAGTTTCCATCCATATTTTTGAGAGCAGGTTTCCTTTTTCAACTGTTAGCAGGATTTCTCTTCAGTGAGATTCTGAAAGTGTGCTTTTATTTAGTACTGTTACTTTATCTTCCCATACATGCATTTATTTTCCTAAAAATGAAACTATATAATCTAACCTGTAAAACTGTGAAAATGCCTTTTTTTTTTTTTTTTTTTTTTGCAAAAGTATATGTAGCTGTAATTTTAACAAAATTACTTTGCTCCCAAAGTACGTTGATATTGAGCATACATAAATCTGTATATTGATTCTTAGGGAAAGATCTTTGCTGTTTCCTGTGTGAATGGATACGCAAATGTAGATTTCTGTTGACAGATACAATCTCATATAATCGCCAAAGATATGTGCTAAAAGTATGGGGTTTTGTCACTGATGCAAATCTAAATTCCTTTACTTTTTGCTTGTAAATAAAAATACTGTTTAAGAGTTGGAATATAAAATACTAACAAGATTTCAGGTGTAGATAATTGGGTCCAATGAAAAGAGGGTAACAGTTACCTCTGTAATTTGGCCAGGCTTTGAACCAGCTATGTTTTCTATTACCAATTATTCTATTTACTATTTTGTGACAAACCTCTTTATTACTGCAACAATTTGGCAATAACAACTCTGTGGTGAAATAAGTCCTCTGAGCAGCTGACCTGCTGTTGCAAAATGCACCTTTGACGATAAAGCATAGACCTACAGCTGAATCATTTTGACCTTGGTTTACATTTCTTCTGGTAAGGACAATGGGCATGGTACAGAATTTCATGCACAGAGGTTTTTTTTTTTAGAGATAAAATTTATATCAGGCTATAAGAGTATTTTTAACTGTTTTCAGACTGAGTTTAATTTCTGAGATTTTCTGTATTTCACTTGAATAAGTGGCAGAAAAATAGCTATATTTAAGCACTAATTTGATCAGCTGTAAACAGCAAAAATGCATTCCCCAGGCATGTTCTGGCAATCTTAATTAGAAAACTCCTTTGTGCCATTGTTGTCTGTAGCTAATGAGATTTTTTACAATAACATAAGGGATAGAAAGTTCCTACATTCAGTATTTTGTTCCTGTGTTTTTAACAAAGTGGTTCTGCATGTGAAAAAAGATGTATTTATTTAAATACGTCTGCAGTACTGAAGCCATGCTAAATGAATGCAGCTTCTGCTTAAGAGCAAAGTTTAACGTAATTGAAATGATTTGACTGGAATCCTCAACTGTTGTTGAGGATTTGTGACTAAAAAAACCTCAGAACTGAGAAAGTGCTAATGAGCATGGTACTTTGAAAAGGGAGATTTTCCTTGGAGTTTGAAAACATAATTGGTGGAAATGACGAAAGGAGAGTCAAGGCAGTGTAGTGGGGCTGAGCTGTGCCTGTGCTAGGACCAGGCTCGTGGAACCAAGCAGTGCTCCCCCGGCCTCCGTTATACACAGTGGAGTAAGACCAGGGAGGGGATTACTCCGTGATTGAAATGGTCTCACGTGCCAAACATCACCACTACTCACGTGGTTACATCTTTCAGAACCAAAGCTGTTCCACAGCCTTTTTCTTCTCTGAGATCTACGTGCCACACTTACTTGTCTTCTGCCTCACACAACTGATGGTAGCAAATTAGTGTCCTTACCAATGTGATGATGTGATACTTTAAATTCTTTGAGTGAAGAGATGGGAAGACAAGGCTGTTTCTTCAGCTAGTCAAAGAACCAGTAGGAATAAAAATGTTAGTGAAAAGAGGAAAAATATTAAAATTTATGTTAGTGACAGTTAATTAGTATTGCACTACACTGTCATTTATTATTAGCATTCCATTTTATTCTAATATTATGTGTCGCCACATATTAAAATTTTTGCTTTAACATTTCCCAACAGCTTGTATAGACTTCTGTTCCACACATTTGTCCAGACTTCGTCAGTGCAGCGGGGCACGGAGCAAGCTGTTGCTCTGTTCCGTTTGAGTAGTAACTGCACTCAGTTGTGGAGTACTGGGTGAGTGACTCTGCAGAGTGCATGGCATGAAGTGTCAACAATGCAGTTTTGTTTTTTAATAAAGTACCACTTTCCAAGAGTTTTCAGACTTCATTTCTTCATTTATCAGTAAATCAATTAACAGTAGAATCACTTGCTACACAGTTTGTGTGTGTAGTGTGTGTATGTTGCTGAAAAATAATGTGGCTGATAGAAGTAGAAAACCATATAATACATAGGGCTTTTTTATTTTCACACTGATCTTGATTATTACCTGTATTAATATAAAACTGGAATGTGAAACAGGTCTGGACACATCTGTGTAAGTTCTTATCTAGAAATCAAAAAACTGAATCTGTATATATTTTGAAATTTTGTAAACTTAGTTAAACAGCACAAGTGCTGCTTAGGTTTTTGACACTTTTGAGTATGTATGTCTTCAGCAATTTATAAATGTTGCAGTAATTACAATTACATATCATTAAGTAATCACATGCAAATAAAAGAGAAGAGCAGAAGAGACTTCCTTAAATTATTAAAAATGAGGCTATTTTTAGTATAAAGGATTAATTGCCAATATTTGCTAGTGTAGCTTACTTAACATTGGTTGGTTTTTATTTTTTTTTAATTCTATGAATTTATATTACTACTTTGAGAAATGTCATTCAGAATCTTCTCTCATTTTATTCTATCTCTGAAAAATAGTGCTGTCGCTGGTGATTTCTAATGAGGGCTAAGAACAGAACAAAAAATATCAATAAGGGTTCTAGGACTCTACAGCAGTCCTCCTGAATTCAAAGGAGCATCCTGGCTTTGATGATGAGTTAGTCTGGTTTACCTAAGGAAGGAAAAATCTTCAGATTTACCTTCCATGCATGGCAGCATGGCTCAAACCTTTTTAGTACAATGAATTTATTCAGTGTTGTCAAATGTATTTATGGTGTTTTGTTGGTGGGTTGTCATTTTTTTAGCAAGAAACAAGAATTTGTTTCAACGGCTTTTCTTACACAGTTAAATAATACAGGTTGGATAGACACATCTTATAGGTAATAGTCTTCCTTTGGGAGCTGTAATTGTCTAATAATAGTTTTGGATTCATGCCCAAAGAACATACTCTGACATTTAAACCAGGTGATCAAAATGCCTGCATTTCTGAGATACGGCATACAGCCTGTACCATGAATCAGCCAGCACCTCATTTCATTGTAAACCTATTATGGTCTTATGTTACTGTGAAATGTGTAGACTTTATATTGTAGTTCATTGTAATTGTGATCCCTCACAGGAAAAATTTTAAGCTAGATGTAAGTTACAGGATGCATGGTGTTGTGCTGGCTGTTAGACTTCTAATTTGTAAATCACTCAGCAGAATGTGGAGTTTATAGAATCATTTTATTTATTGGGGCCAATATAGTTTAAAATCCTGAGATCTAAAATATTACAGGAAATTCTGTAAAGCAGTTTTATGAGAGTTGTGATGTAATCTTTAAAAAAGTAATTTACTATTGGAAAACACAAAATAATAATTTATTAACATAAAAAAGCTGGAGAAATATTAATCCATTTGGGAGTTTGCGTACCCAACATCTGAAAAGTAAGAGTTGTGAAGAAACTGTGGGAATAAGTCAGTATTTCTTTCTGCAAAGACTGGTAATTCTGGATATCAAAAAGAATCACATGAATTGTTACGCCACTGCCTCTACGCGGCTGTGATGCACTGCCTTTCTAAGATTGTAGTATTTCGTGGAGATCTACTATTAGGAAAAAAATTCTGGTCCATAGAAGAGACATTCTGCCAAGGAGAGAATTCGGCATCCTGTCAGTGGATGTTTTTGTGAAACAGGTTTTTATTAGGTTGCATGATTTTCCTTTATCTCTAAGAGGGACAGATCAAGGGGTTTTTTACGTACTGCCAACATATTTCTCTAGCCATAATAAACAGATCATCAAAAGATCAAATTTTGTGTTTATTAGGGCTGTTTAGTTACATTATAGAAATGAAAAACACATTCTTCGTGTCATTTATATTTTTTCCTTTCTATTTTTAGGATGCAAAGTTTGTTGAAGAGCGCCGCAAGCAGCTACAAAATTACCTAAGGAATGTAATGAACAAAATTATTCAAACTGTGCCAGAATTCACAGCCAATCCCAAAAAAGAGACTCTTATTCAGCTGATGCCCTTTTTTGTGTAAGTATCTGTCAAGTAGTCAAGAATATACTTTCTTCATCATACTTTATTTCAAATGTAATGCCAGCATCTCCAAAATCTTTAAAACAGAGAACAGAGTTTGTTTTAAATAGAAGACTCCTGTTTAACTTATAAGTGCTTTTTTATATTTAAATGAATATATGCTATATATAGTATTTTTTGTTTATTTAAATGGTGACTTTGAAGAAAATTCATTGTGTAAAACATCCAGTTATATTTAAGTGAGCTCAAAATCTGGAATCCATACATGCTCTTCAAATATTAGGTATTTTTTATTTCTTTTATTTGGTCTTTTTCAGCTTTGTTTTGCTTTTGTTTGTGTGGGGTTTGTAGTTTTGGTTTTAGGTTTGTTTTGGGGGATGGGGGTGCAGCACTACTAGGGTACTTACTAACAAAATTAAAAAGTTAAGCTATTGAACTCTTCCTAGCTGAATTTTGCAATCTGCAGACGCTGTGTTCTGATTTCATTAACATTAACGTTGAGTATGTCCAGAAATAGATTAACACAGTCATCTGTTAAGAATCTCAAAACAAACCCTTTGATATGCAACCATACAAGAGATATCATCTGTTAAAGTCTTTTTTATTTTGCTGTAAATATTGTTCCTTACAGTGTTTATAAATGATATTTAGAACTATTTAAGAAATAATATTAATGAATATTTGTTTTTGAAAGTGGTGTTAACTTATTTCTTTCAGAAATAATTTTTCAGTATAATGGCGTTTCAGTACTACGCTTGTAAAAATTATGTATAGATTGAACATACATACTTAGTTCATACTAAGCCATCTTATTAAATTTGCTGTCTATAAGCCTCTGCATAGGAATTGTGCATCCAAGCCTGTGAATCAATTTGCAGAACCAAGACCAATTTAAAATGAAAATGTTTCAGTAGAAGCGTGCATCCTTGGCTGTACTATTTACATGGTATTATGTGGAGTTCCAGATTTTCAAGTTGAAACTTTATTTCAAGAAAGCTATATTTATTAGAAAATGTAATAGATAAATGGAAGAATGCCAAGGTGTATTTTGTGACATTCATTTTTTTTTCCCAATTTTTTCCTGGATTTGAAGAAGCAAAAATCAACTTGATGAGGCATTTTGATGATGTTATTATAAATGCCAAAATGATATCTGTAGGGACAAACATCTCAAGACACCTTTTCCCCCCTTAGAACCTACTTCGTAGAGTTTGACTAAAGGCTGTAAAGACTGAAATGGTTGCAAGTACTTTCAATTGAGGGCCCTGTATGTGGCTTTTTGTTAAGTCATTTTAAAGAAATTGTCTCTCGTGTTGCACTTCACTATGTTTTTTAAAGAACAGGGGGGTAAATACAAAATACACTTGCAGTTGAATTCTCAGCTCATATAATTTTTGCGCTTCCTGTCCAATTATATTTTATTTTAAGGCAGTTAAGTATAGCTGTGTGAAGTAGTGAACTGATAATTTCTTGTCAACTTCATTTCATAACTTGCTGCTTTAAATGTAGAGCACGAAGATAAATTCTAACCAGTGTGCTATTTAAGGTCCCATCTTTTCATTGTCTTGTTACTGTTGATTATCCTGAGTTCCACACAGACAAGGGGTAATGTGCAATAACATCTGCGAGTCAAGGCTAGCTAGTCTTTCCTCCTCAACCAGATTGCTTATGAAAGAAATTAAATGTCAAGCTTTGAGGGGTATAAGATATTTTAATAAATGATTATGGTTTCAGGTGTACATTGAGTTGCTGGAGTAATTACCATTACCTCAACAGTACTAGTGGCCATAAAGATAGCAACACAACTAATATTAAAATATGACAAAAAGGGACAGCAGTTTCAACCAGAGGCTATTAGTTTAAGAAATACTGTGGATACTCTAGTTAGAAATATTAATATGAAGCTGTGACCTTAACTGATGGAAAACATATTCATAGTAGCAGTTCATTACTTGAACTGTGATGCATTATGTACATGCTTTAATGAGAATTGTTGTGTTTTCAGATTTTTATTTAATTTCAATTATTAGAATTTCACATATTTAAACAAAAAATCTATCATTAGTTGTACAATTCAACAGTGGCCATACTGTGAGATTTAACTGTGAGAGAGAACAGTACTGAGAAACTACTTTTCAGGTGGTTTGGTTTTTTCCCTCTTAATACAGAATTACTTTATTACAGTATATTGTTATTCTACTTTGAGAAATGACATTTCAAGAATAGTTTATTTATAATCTCTTAGCCACTTATGTTAAAAGCAGGAAGAGAAAACAAATTTCCTCTTCTGTCTCAGTTAATTGTTAACTTGCTTCCTGATAGTTAATCTCATCTCTTTTTTAAGTGTGTAAACAAATTCAGATCTCATGGTTTTGTTTATTAAAAAAGTGCCAGGTATGAGGACCTGCACAGGAAAAGGTTCACAATCACAACCCCAGGTAATGTGTTCTGCCAATAATGCCCAAGTCAGAATAAACACCACTACACTATTCTGCTGATGAAAAAAAACAACCACCAAAAAACCCAAACCAAACCAAAGAACCCCAACCCTATTTCTTCTAGTAAATGTAATGCACTGGGTGAGAGAGATACAATTCATTTCGCAAAGAGCAAGGTTTTATTGAGAAGACAGCACACATAAGTAACCTATTTTGTCAATATGGGTACAATTTAGTATGTGAAACATTGTAATACAAAATAAGTTCATTATCTCTAAGGAAGATTATTTCTTCAAGGAGATTTACTCAAGGAAATTTGCCAACACCACTTGCCAACAAACTGTAAACACCAATATGATGCACTGCATTGATGCTAACCTTTTTCAGGTATAGCTATATGATAGGTTGCAAAAAGACTATGTTTCTTTTTAGGGAGAATTTTGCATTTGGCAATTTCATAATTCCTAACACACCACATGAATCAATGGACTACAGTGGATTCAAGAATGTTCTTTGATATCTGGACATTATGGCAAAAAAGTTCTGTTCATATATGTGTCTGTGAATTATTTCCTTGGAGCTTTTTTCTCACACAATAGATGTATCTGCATTCTCTCTTAGCTGGAGTAGATAGTTCTCTATGGGGATATTAGTGGGATTCTGGAAAAGCTTAGCTGTTGAGCAAAATAACTATATACCTCATCTATACTAGACAAAGTGGGTTTTTAATGCATTTTTCTTCTGAGATATTGGACTCTTCCTCTGCAGCTAGAGCAGCAGTATTAAATTAATATAAAGATCATTCAGACAATGATAGAAGGAGCACATTCTAGAAAGTATCATTGTTGATGATAGGCTGTCATTTGAATTCTCAATGCCCTTTATTTTCTGACTCATGACCTGGCAATGTTGGTGAATAAGAAAAGCATCTAAAAGAAAATGCATTTCAGTTCCACTGCATATTGCCATCTTCTCCAGTGTCCTTTGTTAATGGATTTTGAGCTTTGTTAACAGGAGATCTTGAACATGATGGACTCTGTGAAGTGTTTAGTACGTTACTCAGTTGTAACTTTTGTGCTGTACCTACAATTATTCTATTCTGTTAGGTTTAATAATATATTAGTTGAGTAAGATTTTAATTTTAAACACTGTAAATACAAATAATAATTCTGATATATTTAATATGTTCTATATAGCACAAATGTGTGCGTAGTTGCTGATTACATCTTTATTAATGAAAGAGCATTTACAGAACATTGAGATATTAGTCATAGGACTGTGTTGTAGAGAGTAGTGATACCTTAGTCCAGGAGAAAAAAAAAATGCAGTCTTAATATGCATAAAAATTATGTAGGGTATTAGATCTGTCTATTAGGAAGCAATGAAATATAAAATAAAAAAAATATTTATCTGGTCTTAAAGAGTTTCTTCTCACTGTAAAATGAAGTGACCACAGTTCATTGTGAAAATGAAAAATCCCATTAAGGTTATGTCTGATTAGGTATCCTATAGATGAAAATTGCAGGGTCAGTTCAATTTAATCACTTTTAAGGTGTGATTTAGTTCCTAGAATTTGATTATAGTGAACAGAAATAAAAATTAATGTCTCTAAGACTGAATCCACTGATTAATCCGCTAAAATCTTTGCTGTGAGGTTGTTACTTTGGGGATTTCTCACTTCCAAGCGCAGTGATATCATACAATCAGGCACAGATCCAATGAGGCAAAATATTTTAACTGATCTCTATGAAATAGCCTGGCACTCATAAAGAAAGAAATTACTTTTATTCTGAAACTCAGATACAGTTAACAGTTTGCAGTAAAATAATGTGAATCGGTTTGCTAGCATTTATCTTCATTATTGTATCAAATTCTAGTGGTTAATCGTAGAAATGTAACTTGTTTTGATTCCTTATGCTGTGAGCCGTCATTAATGTGTTCTTTCTGTAGTCAGTCTCTATCATTCGTAATCTTGGTTTATATTTTTTTCAATTTTAATGCTGCATTAGCTCAGTCACAGGTTGGGTCAAATAGTTTCCTTTAAAGTCCATTTTCATGTCTTAATGTAAAAAAGAGATTCTGGCTCTGCTAATTTGTCTGTTTACATGCTGAATAACAAATTTTTTGCAATTATGAAATTGACATCACAAGTTAAATTTTCCAGTCCATGCAGAGCAAAACTTACATCAAGATTTGGCACTGCTGAGTTAGATTGCTACATCTGCTAGCTGGTGAAGGCCTGTCTCTTAATACTTACTTAAATTAACATTTATTTGCACTCACGATTGGTGCGTTACAGATAAATGAAAGTTGTTATAACAAGTACACTTGTGTTTTTATCAAACTATCTGAAAAATATCATGCACGTTAGCTCTTTGTAAATACATATTTAAGAACAGGAGAGATCTTTGGCAACAAGCATCACAATTCTTTGGACCCATGTAATTGAGTCTTTCATAAAATAGGTTATATGATAAAAGCTGTAAAAAGTTGTGAAAGAACTACACTAAAATGTTGTGATGTTACATTTTTCTGTCTCTGTGGTTTCTGTATCAAATA